GTCGATGAGGCCCTGGCTTCCATTGCCAGCACAAAGGAATTAAGAACACAGATTTAACCTGTCCGTTCATGTTTTTGAGAATCTGTACCCAGGACAAGCAGCAGAGTTGCTTCTAGAACAGGATCATAGGTCCAGCTTTGAGAAACAACCGAGCTCCAAGAGCTGCTGACTCCCCAGTCCCCTAGGTCCAGCTCCTTGTCTGAAGGGGGAAGGGCTAGTACTCAAGGTCAGTTGACTGTAAAGGCTAGTCTACAGAGTCTACAGTCCAGAGCAGGGCTGGACCAGAACCTCACCAGGTGGCCCATCGTTCTCTCAGCCCCATTCCAGCACTAGAAAGAAAGAAAAAAAAAAAAAAAAAAAAAAGAATCAAATGTCTTACCGAACTTTTCTTTTTTCATTTTTATTTCCTAGTTCCTTAAGCGGCCAAACTCCCCTGGAGTGTCAAGCAATATGTTGAAGTCACTTAAATATTATTTTTCTTTCGTTGTGAGGGTATCGGTGTGTGAAATTGCCACAGGGATCCTGAAGGAGTTGTTGCGGGTTTCTGAAAGGCGAGCTTGCCTCCCTAGTTGCTGTTTAGCAGAGGCTGTGCCTCCTCATCACTTCCCACCAAGCTCTCTTGCACCCTGTAATGTTTAAGCAGGGTTCACACCAGAGTCACAAGGGTAGCTGTCAATGGAAGTCTCATGATTCTGCGAGGCTTTTCCAGCTACATTTCCTCTAAGCTGCCTTCTCTGATTGGTGTCTCAAGTGGTGCTTTCTCTCTGTGTTCCCCCAGTTTGTGCTGAATGAGCAAACATCACGATTGTTCAGCAAACAATTGTTACCCTATTTATGGGCTTGTTTGTTTCTGCTTGCCCTGTGCTTGTCACACCAAGTCCCTTAAAGGGACAATGCAAACATGCCTGCCTTGCATTCTGTAACAGGTTGGCTGCTGTTACTGCTAGGGCTGGACTGGGCTTTGTGTCGCCACTTTGTGTGAGGTGTTCTGATGCAATTTTTCCTTAGTGATAATAGTTTCTTCACACACACACACACACACACACACACACACACACACACACACATGCTTGTGGAGTGAAATTTGATGGGGTGGGTTAAGGAGCCTGAGAGCTCTGAGTAATGCCATGAATGGATGCTACAAGGCACGCTTTTCAGAACCACAGTGGTGGGTTGGAATGGTTGTAAGAGGGATGTGAAGACCTGGAACTTTAAAATGAGATCTTTGAAGTCAAGGTGACACTCCTACTGCTACCCATGTCTGACAATATGGTACTTTCTTTTCTTGCTTCCAGAAACTGTAATACATCCCCTCACCCCATAATCCCCCGCACCCCACCTCTCTACCCTGGCTCTGATGAAAACCAGCAAATCAACCTGGCAAGGTTCCATTCAGTACTAAACAGTCCCCCTGTGGAGAAGGGCACTCCAGCAAAGTGTGTGTGTGTGTGTGTGTGTGTGTGTGTGTGTTTGTGTGTGTCACAGACTCTTTCAGGCCCTCAAGTCCCTGATAAAAAGCTGATATTGAATGGCTTATGATCATGACCATTTAAAGTCAAAGTCAGGGGCTACCTAAGTTCAGAAAGCTTTTGTCTTAAAGGAATGGAACCTGAGTATGAGTCTCAACACCCCTGGAAGAAGCTGTGGGGGGCAATGTGCTGGGAGACAAAGGCAGGAGGATCCTTCAAGCTTGCTGACCCACCAGCCTAGCCCAATTGGAAAGCTCTAAGCCAAACAGAAACACTGTCTCCAAAAGGAAGTAGATGGACATGCTTCCACATGCCCTCTCACACAAATGTGCCTAAGCATGCATGCAGGCGCACACTGCACACATGTGCGTGCGCGCGCGCGCACACACACACACACACACACCAGCTTTTTAACTTATAAAATAAAATCAAGATCTATCTAGCCAGGCATTGTTTTGTATGCACAGAGGAGGGAGGCAGGAGAATGGTGAGTTACACAGCAAGACCCTGTTTCAGAAAACCAAAATATAAACAACCCAAGAAAATCAAGAGCTTTGAATAGTTTCTATAAAATCTAAATACTAACTCTCTTAAGTTTTACAGGCCATATGTTCACTGCCACAGCTACTTAGTCCTGCTCATGGTAATACAAACTCAACCATACATGTATGTAAACAAGCCAGATGGGCCGAATTCTGGTAAATTTTATTATAGACACTGGATTTTGAATTTCACATATTTTTTTAAATCACTAAATCATCTCTTCCAACCATTTAAAAACATAGAATCTATCCTTAACTCATGGGTCACATAAAAGCAGGCTGTGAGCCAAAATTGGCTTTGGGTCCTGGTTTTGTAACCCTTACTGAGCCAGGAATAGATTGATGTAGTAGAAATAACAGTCATCAGCTTCATGTATTGACCCCATCCTTAGCCAGGACTCAAAGTGTCAGCTACTGTTCCCATGCCTGGAATGATTGGGGTTGAGAGTCAGCATAGGGTCTTGCTATGCATTGAAAGAATGCAAAAATAAACAAGCCGTAGTGGGCTGGAGTTGACTTCTCTGCTTCATTTCCCACTTCGTGCAAATGTCCTGAGTTGGGACTTAACCTGTAGGCTGTCAATGAGGAGTGGGACTTGCCTCACCCCATGTGCCCCACTCTGCCTGACCTAGTGGTGTCCTGAGGACTAGAATGTCTCTCTGCAGGTTACCTGTCCTTTCCAGGCAGGTGAACTTCCCAGTAAATAAAGTGCGAAGGTACACACCTGTAATCCTAGCAGTCCTAGGAGCCTGAGCTGAAGGATTGCCCTGATTGGCCACATAGGAAGGGAGAGGCCAGCCTGAGCTAGAGTGAGGCCTCCTCTTGACAAAGCAAGCAAACAGAAAAGAAAGGGAAGGAGGGAGAGGGAGGGAGGGGGGGAGAATGGCAGGAAGGGAGGATGGAAGGAAGCACAAAGCAGCAGTATATTCTGTTCTTTGCGAGCCATCTAACAAAGTCCCCTTCTTTCTGCCAGGAAGAAGTTGTACTGTCACGGGTCCTACTTGTAATTGTGATAGAGAGATCTTTCCAGATAGGCAATACCTACTCATATGAAGCCAGTGTTTCTCTTCCTCTAATAGACTTTGTGCTCTTCCCTCTTCGCTCCTTCCTCCCTTTCATTGTTTCCTCTCCATCTTTTTTTTGGTAATAACAGATGATCTACACCATTGCCTCTCATAGTGTATCTCTATTGTTTGCTGTTGTTTACAACATAATTCACTGTAAGGACATGAGATGTAATTTTGATACTGCCTGTGTTTAGCAATTGGCCCCCAACAGTGCTAGCAAGGGGCTCTCAGGAGCCAGAAGGAGTTGGCCCCAGTACACTCCTAGGAAAAGGCTATTCTCACCGTTTTAGACCACAGTCCTAGGATGCTGCAGAAAATGCCTGCATAACACATTCTGGTGCCACCCCATTCATTCCCTGTCTACATATCACCTCAAAAACAAACAAACAAACAAAGAAAACCCCACAAAGGTGTCTGCAACATTTACCCTCTAGTTTTATCAACACCCTTTGAACTTTCCCAAGTGCCTTTTGCATTGTATTATCCTAGGAGAGACTTTCCCAGAGTACCTTAGTTACTCAAACAGCCCTTGGCTTTATTTCAACTCATCATTCACAAATTTCGGGTTTCGTTGTTTCATAATTATAAGACTTGAACTTGGGGTTCATCCATCTTCCTCAAAGTTAGTAAAACTTGACAAGCAGCATCAAGAGGACAAGAGAGTGAAAAGAATTTAAGTGCTGTCAAACAAAGGTCAGGGCGGCAGCTCAGCCTGTAATCCTAGTACTTGAGAGGCTGAGGCAGGAGGAGAGTTGTGAGTCAGAGGCAGGCCTGGGTTCTGTTCTGAGGACCAGGCTACATAGGAAGACCCCCATCTCAAAAAGGGCCAAAAATAAAAATAAATAAAAATGGAAAATTAATTACACATCCTTTCATCCCAAGACATGTGAAACAGAGGTGCGAAGAGCCAACCTAAGCTTTGTAGTAAGCTGAGGCCAGACTGGACTGCAATAAATTAAATGAATGTATGTTATAAAGCAGCTGTAGTCTAACTACTTATAACAGAGCTGACCTCTGGGTTCCTTGGGAAGATACTGGGAGGTTTGCATTTTCAGGAAGCCTGGGTTGCATTTTCCTGTTGTTTTGAGACATGGAGGGACTGAGCAGGCCCCCTGGGTCCCAGTCCCAGCTCCCTCAATAACTAGCTCCCTGGAGATCTTGGGAAAGTCACTCAGCTTCTCTGAGCCCAAATTCACAGCCTTGAAAACGAATGGCTGAGACATATCAACTATCTTTCCGACTCCACCTCCTCAGCGCTCAAAAAGGAAAACAAAGTTGAAAATAGGATGAAAGGTTCGGAAGTTCAGGAAGGAAACTTACGCTGCTCATGTGAGCAGCCCGCAGTGCCCTGCTCTGCCTTTCTTGACGAGTGACACCATGTTTCTTTCATTCTCTACACAATGTACATATACCACCCCCAGCAAACCACTCCTAATGTGCAGTTTCCAAGTTTAAAATGATTTCAAGACCGACTGGCAGCCGCAGAGCTATTTGTGGTCCTGTGTGGTTTTCATCATGGGGTAGGTTTGTCTTGTGTGACCATCCTTTCTGAGGTGGCACCCTGTGGCATTACCTTCTGCTAACTATCCCCATTGCCTCCCACACGCTGTGAGGCCTGGACCAGGTAAGGGGAGTGGGGGCGTGTCTTCGTGGCAAAGATAAAGGAATGAGCACCCGGGAGGATGCTTGGACTCAGCTCTTCCCTCCCTTCACACGTGGAGACACACCAGTTCGAGTTCTGGTAGGGATTTCGATAGCTTCTCAGACCTTCCAGTTATCCCTTGCAAAAGTCCCATCGCTGCTCAGGTCCCAGTTCTTCATGACGCAGTTTATTGTGGCAACAGTTCCCAGCAACTGCCCAGATGCCGAGCACTTCCTGCCCAGCCTGGAGGTGGGGGAGGAGGAAGCACTGGGCCCCCGGACTGGAAAACGGGGACTCAAGGACCAGATAGGAGCTCCCAGGCACAGCCAAGAGAGGAGGAGCAATGGGCTGTGGACCGTCCCAGCAAGCAGGGGACCAGAGCCAGAGCCGCTGCGTGCCCTCGCCCAGGAAGGGCTGGGAAGAGGGATCCAAGGTAAAAGACAATCACAGACCAGACCAGACCTGTTATGAGTAAGGTTTTTTCCCCCGTGTGCTAGTGCACGCCTGAAACCCCAGCATGCAAGAGGCTGAGGCAGGGGAAATGCTTCCAGTTTGAATTTGAGGCATGCTCGGATTACATGGTGCATCCTGGGGCTATATAGCCTGACACTGTCAAAGAAAGCAGGAGGGAAGGAGGGAAGAGAGGGGAGAGAGAGCGGAAGAGAAGGAAGATAAAACCAGCACAGTGACAGAATTCCCCACACTTCCACTCTTAGGAAGGTCTGGAGCCAGTCTGCAGGTAAGAGACAGCGTGAGAACCAAGGGACAGCACGCTTCTTCTGCCACTATTGCCTGATGGCTCCAAATGAAGAAAGTGTACATATCTCTATGTATCTCTGTCCATGCAGACACATGTATGAGGCCATGCCCCGGGGCAGATGTGGAATAACGGGGGGGGGGGTGATTTCTGCCCATCACCCTGATTTCTCGGGGGATGGTGGGAGTTCCTGAGAGCTGCCAGCAACTGGTGGTTCGGAACTCCTGTTCTCTGTATTTATTCACAGCACAGCGGGCTCTGTCAAACATCTAGCTACATCCTCTGGGCTCTGCAGCTTATCTGGGACAGAGCTGGAGAGAACCTGATTTGTAAGTCTCCTTCCAAGCCTTCTTTTCTACCGTGCCTCAAACTCGTATCAGTGTTATTTCCTGGAGATGTTAGGGGGAAATTCCCACAGTGCAATGGGACAGATCAGCTGAGATGTTTGTCTTCTTTCTCCCACACCATATGAATGGTTAGGCCCTGCCAGCCAAGCAAGCCAGGCTTGGCCCCCTATACTCCACCAGCAAAGGACAGGCAGAAAAAGCAAAGAGAGGTCCAGCGAGTCCATCTTTGGGGTCCTGACATGGGTGTAGGTCCAAACAGAGAATGACGTGGTTCAGTGGATAAAAGCATTTATGCCAAGTCTAGACTAGAGACCTGAGTTCAATGCCTTGGTCCCACTTGATGGAAGCTAAGACCTGAAAACTATTTTCTGAGCTCCACACATGCATAGAAGCACAGTTTAACATTTCAGGACAAGGAGGACTGATATCAGATATGTTTCTGCCCATCACTGACCTTGTATGGTCTTAGCCCCCGGCTCTCCATCAAAAGTGGTCTGACACCACTGTGTGAAAGAGACAAAGCCTGCCTCTGACTGACACCAATTCATCTGTCCTGTCTCCTAGCCTGAGACTCCAACTTGTTGGGGACCATTGTCCCAGTGGCCTGATTCCCAGAGGGAAGGGCACAGGGGTCTCTGCAGAATGACTTCTCTTCTGTCAGGAAAGGTATAAATTCACCAACAGAATGGACATCTTGTTTACATCAAGACCCCGTCTTATCTTATAGGGATGACCAAAGGAATGGTCCGCCATATATTTCAGCATCAAAATCGAACTTTTGAAGGGTGACAGGGAGCCTGTAATCCTGTTTCCCAGGCTGGTAGGAGCAGCACACTGGCACTCAGGGCCACCCTTCCCACAAGACATGTGTGAAAGCCATGCACTCTTCTCGGCAGACACAGTGTGAACACGGTCAGGGGCCAGTGATAGCACCCAGCATATGGGTGGCACCTCTGAGCTCCAGGAGTGCATCTGAGAAGCTAATCTGAAGGGCATGGTGTGTGGCTTGGTTGGTACAGTGTTGACCTAGCATGGGCAAAGCCCTGGGGTTCATACCCAACAAGGTATAAATGAGGTGTGGTAGTGTATTCCTGTAATCGCAGTACTCAGGACATGGAGGCGGGAGGATCAGGACTTCAAGGTCCTCTTCAGCTACATAGTGAGTTCAAGGCCAGCCTGGGACCACCTGAGACGCTATCTTTAGACAGATAAATAGCCAGACAACTGGGATGTGCTATGAGCTATGAGTTCTAAGTCAAGTCACCACAGAGCCTAGAAGGGGTCCTGGATGTCTCTCCAGCATTTTATTTTTTAACTATTGTGACATATAACATGACCAAAATAAGGCACTTGAGAGGTGGGATTTATTTGGCTTACATTTCCAGGTCACACAGAGACTTAAAGCAGAAACCATGGAGAAGGACTGCTTTCTGGCTCATTCATAAGCTCATGCTTATCTAGCCTTCTTATACAACCCAGGACCATCTGCCCAAGGAATGATGCTGCCCATGGTAGGCTGGGTCCTCCTAGATCAATTGACAGTCAACACAATATGCATAGACATGCCTATCAGCCACCCCTTTAACTCTACATCTCCCCAGTTTCCTTATCTATAAAACAACAGAAATATTAATACTTAACTTTGTTGAATTCTTATGAGAATTAAGTGAATTTAATTCACGTAAAGTACCCACACCCATGCTTCACACAGAACAAGAGCCAAAAACAAGTTATGACAACGTCATTATTATTCTGACATAAAATCCTTAGCATCTTTAGCATAGCCATCCATGTTCATCCTTGAGCTAACCCCAACACCTTCTCCAGCTTCCTCCTTCCCACATCCTTTTTAAAGTAAACCTTCAAAGTTCAGCAGGTACTTTCTTTTCCTCCTGGGGGAGTCACTGCCACAGCTGGCTTTTACCATCAGGTTTTCCCTTCTCACTGTACAGGTCACACATCCCCATCTTTTAGGGAACTCCTAATCACTCCCTGCTTAGCTTCTTCTGGACAGATGCTCCTGGCCACCATGATGGTGAGGTATATCCTTCTGTTGGACTGAAGAAAGGGCTCACATTGTCCTCTTATTGTATCCATTCTGCCTCCAGTCATGAGCTGCCCCTAAGGCAGGTAGTCTGTCATTTTATTTATAGCATGCTGATTCAGACAAACCAGACACTAATGAACACTCTGTGAGTGGTTCTCTCCCAGTCCCCCAGATTCCTGACAGTGTTCTTGTCTTCTAGTAGCACAGAGACTAATGATGATAACAAAGAGGAAGCTCAACATTAAAATTACTGAGCAATAGACTTGCTTGACTTCTGCATGTGTCTTCTCTTCCCATGCACTTGACTTTGGAAATATGAACTGCAAAGGGTATGGTTATTATTAATTAAACACTCGGTGGCCATCAGAATAATGACTCTACTATTTCCCAAATGCAGAGGACCTAGAACAGTGGCTCTCAACCTTCCTGATGCTGAGATCCTTTAATACAGCTCATTGCTTCTTCATCACTATGGTTATGACTCATAATGTAAATATGTAATATATCGAATGGTCTTGGACAACCCCCATGAAAGGACCATTTGACCCACAGATGGAGAATGATTGACTTAGAGTTTAGGAGTTCAGATATGGCTTTGAAATGAGAAGGGCATGTTTACTTGTATGAAGCATTTACCTTTCTTAGCATTTTTAACGTTAAAATATATTCTAAATTAAAATTCTTGGGAGTTGTCTGTAGACTTCCTGCTCACTTTTACCCTAGTCAAAAGAGATATGAAGGCAATGCAGAAAAATAATGCATCACAATAGGAAAAGCATGGGCAATACTTCTCAGTTACAGATCTGCTCTTTTTCTGTGTGATTACTCAAAGTTCCTGGCCTAGGATTAAAGGAGGGAGCTTAGAATTTAGTGAGTGTGGCGATTTGAAAGAAAATGGCCCCCAAAGGGAGTGGCACTATTAAGGGGTAGATTTGTTGGAATGGGTGTGGCCCTTGTTGGGGAAAGTTTGTCACTGTGGAGGCAGGCTTTGAGGTCTCCTATTTGCTTGAGCCACACCCAAACTCTGAGACTACTTCCTGTTGCCTGTTGAGTTAAGGTGTAAGAAGTCTCGGCTCCTTCTCTAGCACCATGTCTGCCTGCATGCCATCCACCCTGATGATAGTGAACTAAACCTCTAAACTATAAGCTACGATCCCAATTAAATGTTTTCCTTTATTCGAGTTTCTGGGGTCATAGTGACTCTTCCCAGCAATAGAAACCCTAAATAAGACAGTGAGTGGACAAGAAGGACCCTTCTTAGGTTTTCTCTAACATCTGATACAAGTCTTGCTTTTTTAAGGTAAAAGGACTAGGTGACTTGTTAAAACAGTGTGTATGTGCAATCATGTCTGTGTGCATGCACGTGTGTGAGGAGGGTGTATGCACCCATGCTTTTGTTGATGTCCAGAATCTTCTCCTATTGGTCACTACAGTATTGATGTTGCATTTTCACAGTGTGTGCACACAGCAGTGGAGGTCAGTAAACAGCCTGTGGAAGTCAATTCTCTCCTTCCTCCATGCGGGTCCCAGGGATCGAACTTGGGTCATTGGGCTTGGCAGCAGTGCCTTTCCCACTGGGTACCTCACTGACTGTCTCTCAATGACTGGCACTCATTCATTGGCTAGACTGGATAATCAATGAGCCCATGGGAAGTCGGTGTCTCTGTCTCCAGGCACTGGGGATACAGACATATCCCACCACACTAGGACTTTTTATGTGGATGTGAGAGATCCAAGTGCTTCACCTGCTCAACCATTTCTCGGTTTTGCTGAAGAGTCATTCCTGAAAGTTTTTGAGGGCTTGCTCTTTATAATTATACTACCAAGAGGAAATTAGCAAAAATTCCAGTTCTGAAGAACAAAGTCTTCCCATAGGTCCACAGGCAAATGTATTTACACAAGCTTCTGCTCGTGAAGTGATTGAAGATTTCAGCTCAGGGAGTATCAACAAGTGATGCCTGCCAAGCTGTTTAGAAAATATGTTTCCCAAAAGAAGCTTCAGAAGTACATACAGTACTTACACTACACACACACTCACTCACACACACACACACACACACACACACACACACACACACACGCATACATACGCCACAAAAGCAAACAGCACACACCTGTCTATAGTTGAAATCAGTGCCTTTTTTTTAGAATGCTGATAACTTTCTCACAGTCATCAGCTTGGGACTTCTGTTTTACTGTTAAACCTGATAAAAATGTTACCTCCAAAGCATTAAAGAATACTAAAAGGTATACAAACAGCCGAACACATTGAGCCTATGCTT